AATTGGAATTGATGACGAGATATATGGGACTGTGCGTTCCAACCTGTTGTCACACACTCCGCTGCCGGACTTGAACAGGGCCTACCAAGCCTTCATTCAAGAAGAAAATTCACGGGCAGCAGCTCGTGGTAAAACTGCTGATATTCATGACGCCCAAGCTTTTTCTCTTCAAGTTGATAGGCCAGCCAAAGGGAAGATCGAGAAGGTTGATAAAACCAAGTTGCAGTGTACACACTACAAGAAGAAAGGGCATGAGGTTGGGTCCTGCTTCAAGCTATTAGGCTATCCCGAATGGTGGGAGGATTGGAACCGAACAAAAGTGGAACGACTGGCCGTGGAGGGGGGATCAAGACCCATGCCGTTGTCACGTCCGACGAAGGCTCATCTTCTACGACTGAGGTAACGGGACTGCCCCAGTTGAACAGGGAGCAAGTTCAAGCCTTGTTGAATCTAATTAATGCGGAAACTCGTTCATCAGATCGTATGGCGGGTAAGTTTGATTGGATTATTGACATAGGGGCTTCTCATCACGTCACAGGTGATATTACGAATTTGACTGACAGAACTCGTATATGCGCACGTTTGGTAGGACTACCGGAAGGCCGAATGGTTAAGGCTGTTTTGGAAGGACGAGTTTATTTTTCTGAAAAATTTATTTTGGAGCATGTACTCTATGTACCTGGATTAAAATGTCATTTAATCTCGGTATCACAATTGATTGATCAATCTGCATGTTTTGTTACTTTCACTGATTCGTTTTGTGCTATACAGGACCGTCTCTCGAGGAGCCTGATTGGAGCCGGTGAGAGACGAGATGGGCTTTATTATTTCAGAAGGGTACCAGTGTTGCATGCTTTTCACACGTCCGACTTACCTTCGTTCGAGTTATGGCACCGATGCTTGGGGCACCCATCTGATCGCGTGATTAAATTATTACTTGCTATTAGTACTAGCTCTTCTGCCAAACGTTTGAATAAGCCTTGTGAGGTGTGTCCACAAGCCAAACAAGTGCGTGATTTTTTTCCTGCGAGTAGCAATAAAGCAAGTAGAATTTTGGAACTTATTCATTGTGATTTGTGGGGTCCTTATAAAACCCCATCTACTTGTGATGCAATTTATTTTATGACATTGGTTGATGACTATTCTCGTGTTGTGTGGGTTTATCTGTTACGTGACAAGAAGGAAGTGTATCGATTTTTCCTTTCTTTTATTGCTACCGTTGAAAAGCAGTTTGAGATGCCTGTTAAAATTATACGCAGTGATAATGGCACGGAATTTAAATGTTTGTTGCCATATTTTGAGGAGCGTGGAATTTTGTTTCAGACATCTTGTGTTCATACCCCTCAACAAAATGGGCGGGTGGAACACAAGCATCGTCATATTTTAAACGTGGCTAGAGCACTAATGTTTCAGGCAAATGTTCCTATTTCATTCTGGGGTGAGTGCGTTCTTACGGCGGTACATTTAATTAATCGCACACCCTCAGGAATACTGGACGGCAAAACTCCCTACGAGGTACTTACTGGCAGGGCACCCGATTTCCACCATCTCTGGGTGTTTGGGTGTTTTGCCTTTGCTCACAATTTAAAGACAGGGGGTGATAAATTTCTTCCTCGTAGCCGACAATGTGTCTTCATTGGATATCCAACTGGCAAGAAAGGATGGAAATTGCTTGACCGTGACACCGGAGATATTTTTGTGTCGCGTGATGTAAAATTTCATGAAGACGTGTTCCCATTTTCAGAGGTTACTACGGCCCCTGCTTCAGACTCGGCTCCTGCCGAACTCGTTCTGTTTGACTCAGATGATGTGGTTCCAGTCAACTCTGAAGTTCCTCCTGACACTGGCCCTACATCGGCAGACAATACTTCTGACAGTATCACACTTGGCAGAGGCATGCGGTCTAAGTGACCGTCTGTCTTGCTTCGCGATTATGTTGCTCACTTAAGCCCATCTCCGTCCACACCCTCCGTCAGCTCTTCAGGTACGCGATATCCTATTAGTCATTACGTTTCCTGTGATAAGTACTCTACACGTCACCGCACGTTTCTTGGAGCTATTTTTGCAGGTCGCGAACCCAGGTCCTTCAAGGAGGCTATGACTGATGCTGGATGGCGCTCTGCCATGCAAAATGAGGTTCAAGCCCTTGAGAATAATCACACATGGGACTTGGTGCCTCTTCCTCATGATAAAAGGGCCCTGGGATGCAAATGGGTTTATAAAATTAAATATAAATCTGATGGTACCGTTGAACGATTGAAGGCCTGATTGGTTGTTTTTGGGAATCACCAGGAGGCAGGCATTGATTATACTGAAACCTTTGCTCCTGTGGCCAAAATGGTAACCGTACGCCTACTCCTAGCTGTTGCTGCTATTCGCAAATGGGAGCTACACCAAATGGATGTCCACAATGCTTTTCTTCATGGTGATCTAGCTGAGGAGGTCTATATGCGCCTTCCTCCGGGTTTCTCTACTTCCCGGCCCGGGCTGGTATGTCGTCTGCGCAAGTCGTTATATGGTCTCCGCCAGGCACCACGATGTTGGTTTGCTAAACTAGCCGCTGCACTTAAACAATATGGTTTTCTACAATCCTATTCTGACTACTCTTTATTCTCTCTGCGCAAGGATGACGTACAGATACATGTGCTTATATATGTGGATGATCTTATTATTGCGGGCAATAATTCCGTAGCTTTGTCTCACTTTAAAAACTATTTGAACTCCTGTTTTCACATGAAAGATCTCGGGCTTCTTAAATACTTTCTTGGTATTGAGGTTGCCCGAGGTCCTGATGGGATTTTTCTGTGCCAACGCAAATATATTCTCGATATTATTTCTGAGGCAGGACTTCTTAGGGCTAAGCCATCTTCGTTTCCCATGGACCAAAATCATTCATTGGGCCTTGCTACGGGCGATCCTTTAGCTGATCCTGAATCCTATAGACGCCTTGTTGGTCGTCTAATTTATCTGTCTTTTACTCGGCCGGATTTGGCTTATTCGGTACATATCCTATCACAGTTTATGCAGGTCCCACGACGAGAAGAATGGAATGCAGCACTTCGTGTCGTCAGGTATCTCAAAGGTACTCCTGGACAAGGAATTCTTTTGAGCTCTTCTTCTAGCTCGACTCTTACAGGCTGGTGTGATTCTGATTGGGCTAGCTGCCCACTTACGCGACGATCTCTATCTGGATGGCTAGTCTTTCTTGGAGGATCCCCGGTTTCTTGGAAGACTAAGAAACAACACACTGTGTCTCGATCTTCTACTGAAGCTGAATATCGTTCCATGGCGGCTGTTACAGCAGAATTAAAGTGGGTAAAGAGTCTTCTTCTTACCTTCGGCATTGCTCACCCGCAGCCAATTCCCTTACATTGTGACAACCGCTCTGCTCTTCATATTGCTCATAATCCTGTGTTTCATGAACGTACCAAGCATATTGAAGTCGATTGTCATTATGTTCGTGATGATTGCAAGAGGGATTAATTTCTACACAACACGTGTCTACCACTGAACAGCTAGCAGATATCTTTACGAAAGCTCTTGGACAGGGGCGGAACCAGCCTAGTGCCCGGAGGTGCTCGTGCCCCTGCAGTGTTTTTCTTTCTTTTTTATAATATATATGTATATACTTCGTATATATTAACATTTAATTAGTTGAGCCCCTGCAGCCCAATTCCAAAAGCCATTTACATTAACCCTTTCCCTTGTGCCAGCCCAATCCCAAAAACACTTCCCTGGGACGGCCCGCAACCCAACTCCCCAAAAGCCAAAACGCCAAGACCCCAAGTCCCAACTCAAGCGGTCAAGCCTCTTCCCCTGCGTATAACGCCAGCAAATCACAGCAGTGAGTCAGCGAGTCGGAACTAGAATAGCGATTAGCGACTACGTCTCTAGACTCCTGGACGGCTGGGCTCCTAGTAAGCCTTTTAATGCCTTAAACTAATTGTTTTTATGATAATTTCATTTAAAAAAATTTATTTATTGAATTGTATTTGTTTAATTCAAATAAAATGTTAATTGTTGAATACTTTTATTTCTTGAATTCAAATACAGTGTTGAAGTTTTTGGCAATTATGTTGTGATAACTGATAATCTCATTAAAATGTTAATTATATTGTAAAGTTATAATTGTGTATTTACTGATTTAGTTAATGTTGTTAATTTGTTATAATGTAATTTATACAATTATACTCATATTATTTCAATTGTAATTGGCCTAGATTGTTTGACAAAATATCGCTATGTTATGATATTATACACCGGAACCTAAACAGCCAATCATTGGTGGTTCTTCATCGAATAATTTAGTTTCTTCATCAGATAATGTCATTCTTAACAATGAAAATAATGTTAAAAAGGATCGAATAGAAGTTGAATTGTCCGATGATGACATTGTTGGTGATTTGCGCAACAAGATGGGAGAAGAATACTTGACAGATTGTTTGGTGTGTTACATCGAGAAAGATATATTTGTTAAAATTGAGAATGAAGTCATTATGAAGCGATTTCAGAGTATGGCATCTCGAAGACAAAGATTGTCCCCTCTCAATGAATCTCCTTCATTTGACGCGTCAGGTTGTAATCAAAATTAAGGTACTCTTTAAGTAGTTGTTTTTTTTTTAAATTTTATAGTTTTGTTTATTGCTATATTTGTGCAGGATAGTACTCACGAGTCACGAGTATATGATTTCTTTGTTATTGTGCCCCTGCGAGTCACGAGTCCTGGTTCCGCCACTGCTCTTGGACAACGGCAATTTGGTCATCTACTGCGCAAGTTGGGCATGTTTGATCCACATGCTCCAACTTGAGGGGGGGTATTAGATTGGGCTTGCTAATTGTACACTTATTGTAAATGTGGGCTAAGGGCTCAATTTGTATAGCATATTAGTGTATAAATATAGGAGGTCTCGGTCATTGTAAAGGAAGAGTAAGATTCACCGATTAATAAAACTTAAACTATTTTCTTCCTAAATCTAAGAGTTGCCTACATGGATGCTTACCATGACACCTTGGTGAAACACCCATCCCATTATAATACCAAGCGGAACACCGAGTAAATAGTAGCATCCAAGGTTTATGTAAGCTACATATGCTTGCCATCCAGATCCAACAGCAACCCCTACGAGTTTTTTAAAAAAATTATGACACTTCATTCTTGAGGGTGCTAGAATCGATCAAACAATTATTTAACATGATGTAAATTTAGTTTTAAATGCATACTAGTGGAAAAAGAGTGGGGTTATAGCCCAAATCTTTGTTTGGACTTGAACCCGTGACCTCTTCCCGACAAGAATTTAAAGTTCTATTCATACAAATCAATAAATCATAAGCGTGCAACGAAAAAAAAATGGAACTTTTATAAGGAGACCAAAACAATAATAAAGTTCACAAATGAGACTCTCATTATGCTATTCCCAAAATAGGACTTAACCACTCCTATTTTAGGAAGTTTTAATCAACTTTCTCTTTTAATACTCGTAGAACTAAATAAATCTTAATTATTTGAGGAATAAAACACACATAATCCCATTTTTACACTTTGCTTATGTTTTGATCCTCCATCGAACGATTTCTAAAAAATACTCCCTCCGTCCCTAATAACTTTGCCAAGTTTGACCGGCACGGGGATTAATAAAGTAAAAACTGTGTGGTTGAGGTTTGTGCAGAGGAGAGAGAATTAACTGGAACCACAAATTCTTTACTTAAATGGGAAAGTGGCAAAGTTAATGGGACATCCAAAAAAGGAAAGTTGGCAAAGTTATAAGGGTCGGAGGGAGTAAATCATAAGCAAGCTAGTGGGGCTTAGCCAGGGCCTAGGGGCACCCTTAGGATGATCTGCTAGACTTTGCCCAATCCAAATTTAGTAGAATCCTTCAACTATTTCTAAACATTTTAATGTAATAAATTACTCTATATATAAAAAAGTGCTATATAGTGGTCTAACACAATATTTTCCTCTGTCTATACGACTACACATACCATTGGCCTTGTCCCGCCCAAATTTGATAAAAGATAATGTACGCAGTACGTAGTATGATATCCGGAGTATTTTAAAACTGTGTAAAAAAATAAATAAAAAATTCTTTCTCTGAACCATCTTGTTTTCTTCCCTGGATACGTTTAGCCATTAATATTTAGTAGAAAAACCTAATTCATACTTCGTAGTTTATTAGGGCTTGCAATTAAGGAGATTTGATTTAGGCTAGGTTGTTAATTACCTGAGAGAACAGGTTGAATGCTGTTGAGCAGAACAGTGAAAGCTAAGATTATTGAGAGGTTACTGACAGCTTCGAGGACAGGTTTGCTAGATGTGAAAATTAGGGCCAACTTGTCGTCAAAGATTAGGATTAGTCCCCAAAAGATCAATCCAATGATAGTTGAATGTGCCACTGATACGATTGCAGCGAATTTAGCTCCTTTTCCACTCCCAGCTCCCAACTCATTGGCCACCCTGACTCTGTATAATACTAAGTATGAGTGTATCACATCACGTTGTATAAACCTCTAGATATATGGCACTAAAACAAATAATATTGTCAATTAAAGTGGATTATATTACTAACAATAGTCATTGCCGGGCCTAGGGGGCAATATGGGTGACCGCCCTAGGCGCTGAAAAAAATAGGCCCAATTTTTTTCCTTGATATATAGTGTAATACGTAGGGTTTTATTTAATTTTCAGATTCTATTATTTAGGCCTAATGTTTAATCTTTGTTCACAATTTGAAAATTATAGAACATACGAAAAGAATATTAAGCTAAGTCAAGTTTTTTTATAACAATTACGGAACGATGTTTTAAACAAGAATATGTATTAATTTTAAGTTAATGAAACAATCAAAAGACACGTCTCTTCACATCTTTAATTTTAAGCCTTTAAGAATTTTTTTTCTTTAGAATGACAAACTCAGACTATTGATTTTGGGCAACCATATCACATTGTTTCTGAATTTCAATTGCGAAAAAATTGATCAATAGACAATATCCAAGTTAGGATGTTTTTACTTGGTCTGTAATTTGTCCCAGACCAGTCCAGACCAGACCAGATCAGACCAGACCAGACCAGACCAGACCAGACTTGGATAGTTATAAAAATACAAAGAAACCAGATGTTACCAGATCAAACCAGACCAGTTCAGACCAGACCAGCAAAGTCCAAGTAAAAACATCCTTACTAACAAAAGTTTTAAAGGACGTCAAATTGATGGTCGTCTTGTACGATAGAGGGCTGCAAAGAGCAGTTTGCGGCTTTGGCAATGTCTGATCTTGTTAAATTGATATTAGTATGTTATTGTGCGATTTTAAGTTCTTTTATTCTTTGTAATTTTTTTTATTAGAAAAGGTGGATTAAGAAGTAATTATTGATGAATTTATTTCATAATGTACCAATATGTACATTATACTATCTATGTGCTACTTGTATCGTTAATTTTTCATTTTATATGATACTGCAACAAACATTTTATAATACTACGTAATATTTTTTTCATGATACTTGTGTTGTTATTTTTTCCCAAATGTGTAATTTAAATATTAAAATTATTTTTATCTTTATTTTATGACCTCTATTAGATAGTTTTATTACAATTCATATTTTAATTATAATAAGCATAGTTTATGATTTGTCAGATATGACATCCATTTAGGATGCTTTCTTTTGGACTGAAATTTGCTGGTCTGGTCTAGTCTGGTAAACGTTTAGTCTCTGTGTATTTTATAAGTACGGAAGTTTGGTCCGATCTAGTCTGGTCTGATCTGGGATTGAAAATAGTCTAAAAGAAAACATCCTTACTAACACAAGGTATGCTTCCCTCACGTAGGGTTTTCGGCACCGATTGAAAAATCATCGAATCTTTCTGGTTTTCATTGGTAGTGCCTTGTGAATTCAATTCCTTTGCTTCATTTCAGTTTTGTTCTTTGTCCGGCGATCTGGGTGTTGGGTCTCTATTTGAAGGATAGACCTGGGTTTAATTTGTTGTTTGCTTCGTTGACCGATAGTGTTCTATGTAGCATGAAAACTCTCGGGAAAGATTATGTTTCCCGTTTCGGAAACTCTTTGGAAACTCTCCAAATAAGTCTTTTTTGAGAAAAAGTTGATGTTTCACGTTTCCCGTTTTCTTGTGATTTTCGCGTTTCCGTGCAACATAGTGTTCTATACTTCTATCGAACGCAGCCTAATCGTTATTTGTGTGATTTCTTTGTTAATTTGGCTATATATAGGCGATATGGATGCCCAACAGAGGTTGGCGATTGCTATGGAAGACTGCAGTTAGAGGAGAAGGATGGGGATGCGGTAGATTTGTTACTGCCTGAATCAATGAACGCGAGGAGCGAGGAGCGAGGAGGGCTGACTTTGTGGTTCTGTGTGGGAACTGTTCTGTCCGAAAAGATGGTCAAATTCTTGCCATTTAGGGATACCATGCCCGGCAAGTTGAAGAGAGACGACACAAACTCCAAATGTATTTAATTTCTCCGGCTATTAATTGCGCAGTTATCTTCAAGAATTTATTTGAATGCCTTCCCGATTGAAGTTTTAGCTGAAATTTGGTATGAGTAAACTGTAAGGTGTTAGAGACTGTATAACCAAGCCCTATCCGCCCGAAATTTTTGGTCCATTTTTGATGATCAAGTTATCCGTACAGTCCGTACATTCCGTACAGTTGGGACGTACGGTTTATTATTTCCCCTCCCTTTGGCCGCACGTCCTAGTTGGTTTGGTGTTAGGTTTTACTCTCTACAAATATAAGCTCTCTCCCTTGTAATTGTTAGATCCGAAAATTAATAACATTCTTGGCTTGGTAGCGCCCCCAGACGTAGTCCTCTGTGGCGAACTAGGTTACCAAATTTCGTGTGTTCTTTAATTGTTCTTCGTGTTGCGTAAATTAATTTTTAACATAAACTAGGCTTAATGAATAACATGCTAAAAAAAATTCATCAAAAAATCCACCGGGAACTGACCTAAATGACGACGGCCAAACAGAACCTCTTATATAAGGGCTTATTTGACATTTTTATGTAAGTTCGAGAGCCTATCTGACCATTTTTCCTTTTTTTTTATTTGGACTATTAGTTGGAGCATCCTGTTTGTTAGTGTTCTAAGGGGCAATATTTCATTTTTTGTTACAACATGCTAGCTTCAAGTTGCCCGATGAGTGGCTACTGAATTGTTGTATTTCTAACACATACGATAGTACTACGTACATTTTAATGTCTTTTTGCAGCTCTTCGAGTTTCCATCATTATAATACGAAGTATAAGTTTTCTTTGTTAAAATAGTTTTAAAACTATTTTAAAAGATATAAGCTACGATTAAAAGATACTACGTAATTAATACTCATGAAACAATGAAAATGGAACTTAAGACTTTAGTCATGAGACTACACTTGAATAGAGTGAACTAAATTAAATCAATCTCATGGGTTTTAATATTACCCATATTTTAAAGAAAATTAGGGCAATTAGAGTGAACCAATATGTGTTGGATGTGTTTCTAAAAAGAAAGAAAATTAGTTAATAAATTTAATTAAATAAAATGACTAAAGAAAAACAGAAAATAGATGAAGCAGAAATTCGCCAAAACTCGTGCTACGCACGATGTCCTTGAAACGTATTCTTGCCTCCCGGGGTGCTAGGAGCGTTGCAACTATCGTTTCCCAGGATACGATGACTAATGAGCAACCGTTTGAGTACTCAAACGATTGTTCCGGCGAACTGGAACAAAACAAGTCCCCTGCGCGCGAAGTGAGCCTTTCTTTTCAAGAACTTAACTCCTTAGAGCGGGTTTCCCTTTATAAAGGGTTCAAAGTCCCTTGGGTTTTTCGGTGTGGGAAAAACAACACTAGAAACCCATCTTTTCCTAGTTTTCTCCTTTTCAACGAGTGAACTTCGAGAATTAATTTCTCATTCACCCGTTATCCGTCCGCTTTGAGCGTACCATATATGAAATTGTAGTCCTAAACAAGGACAATCCGAAATCACTTTGGCCCGACCCAAATTGGAAGTGGACCCCACTCAAAACATTGTCTCAAAATGACCATTTAATGCAATTTATAAACACATTTTCCAACAATATGTACATGCAAATATGGATGGATCTAGGATTTGAGGTCAAGGGTGACAAAAAAAAATTCCGCTAGTATAAGCCTAGCTCTGCCTATACTCATTCAAAAGTATTTGTTAGTAGTTAGCAGTGTTCCAAAAGGCCCGAAAAGGCGCCGCAAAGGCGGGCTTAGGCCCAAAGTGACGTGCACTTTGTCGTGAGTGTACTCAAAATAAATCGATACTAACACTTATACGTAGTATAGGTGAAGTAGAGTTCGTATCCACAGGGAAAGGAATAACTCTTCTTTTTATGTAACTAGTGAAAAAAAAGTGGAGAGAATAAGAAGAGTATGTGTTTAGTTTGTGGATTTGGTGGATGGTTGAGGTGTGAAATTGTAACTACGGAGATTTTTGGGTTCGAATTTTGGAAAGAAGTATGGGGTGATTCATTTTTTTTTAAGAATGGCCTGGTTTCCAAAAACTCGAGATACCCGGCCGGGTGGGGTAGTGTACCCGGTCGGGCGTTTCACCCAGGGGTGGCAGTAGTTTTTTTTTTGTGGTCACGCCCGGTTGGGTGTAATGAGGTACCCGGTCGGGTGGGATTTATTTTTTTGTTTGCGTGGCCTGCCTCGCCCGGGTGATGGGGCGGGTATCACATTTTTACCCTATACCCGACCGGATTAAATGAGATGCCCGGCCGGGTATATGCCCCAGACCTTCATTTTTCATTTTTTTCATTTTTTTTGAAAAGTGCAAAAATAAAATGAAACAAGTAAATGCACCTTGCATGGGTTGCCTCCCAAGAAGCGCCTCGTTTAACGTCGCGGCACGACGCCATCATTGTGTTCAATCGTTCAAGCTTGGATGGTGATAATTCATCTTCTTCACATTTTCACTCCTAGGACTTACATAGGAATGCTCATTTTTCCGACTCTTCACTTTGAAAATCTTTCCAGGATCAAATATCCAGATTTTCATTGATTCATGTGGGAGGGAGGGGAAGAAACTATCGTTTAGCATGGTCAATGAAAAGTTTTTTGACCCCTCAATTTTGAAGAAGATTTCGGAAATGTCATTGTCCTTTTCAAGTTTATGAGTTTCTCTTAAAACTTTCAGAAATGATGGAGATACCTCAAAGGATGACAATGACAAAAATTTGAATTTGAAGCTCAGCTTATCCTCTTCTTTGACCAGTTGGAGCTCCGTATCTTTTACTTCTTCTACTTCTTCTGGATTCTGGATCTCCTTTTGCATTTCCTTTTCATTTGTCAATGTGATTGCAAAAGTTTGCTGTTTAGGATCACATTCTATTTGAGAAGGAAGTTTTTCTGAATCCCTTGCTTCAAGCCTGCTCACGGCTCCGGCTATTTGACTCATTTGAGTTTCCAAGTTTAAAATGCTAGACTTGGTCTCATT